CCCCCCGGGCACCTGTAAATTAATTGCTTTCGGACTAATTAAACCCAGAGGCCCATAACGAGGAAGCTCATCCTGAGTGACATCACTGAAGCCGGGACGCGGGTGCCCAGGCAGAGGAGGATTTCAGCCCCATCACACCCCAAAATTCCCCTTTTCTGAGGGTAAATCCAGCTGGAGGCTCATCTTTGTTTCCCTAACGAAGAAAACACAGGGGATTCGCTAACGAGCGACCCCAAAAATCACCCATTTACACCCCAAAAAACACCCGTTGCTGCTAATCCGGGTCCTCTGAAAGCCCACCTGGAAAAATCGCTGCAAAAAATCATCTTCCTGCCACCTCCTCCTTATCATTAATTAATTAGTGATTATTAGAGTGGGTCCCACCATTTTGGGGTGTGGCGCGGAGTCAGGACCCCGTGAAACGGAGTCAGGCGAAAGCACAGGAGACAAACACAAGCGGTTTTGGGTGTTTTTTAACCAAAATTCAGTGTCTTTGAACACAACTTTGTTCCCGTGAAGGAATTAAACTGTAGAAAAGGTCGAAGATTTTAGATTTTAACGACTTGAGCAGCGACACACGGACTCCTCCGCTCGCCCTGGGGGTCTCCTCGCTGTAGGTACAGGCGGCCGTAGGTCCCCCCGACCTGGCCCTTCGTCAGGCGGCCGGGATTGATGCAGACACAGCCCAGAACGTCCTGCAGGAAAACGGGAGCCATGGTCACGGATCCCGGTGCCGAGGAGCCACCAGGAGCCACAACCGCACGGCTACAGCCAACACAGATGGTGACAGTCACCCAGCTACAGTCGGCACGGACACCAGGAGCCACAACCACCCGGCTACAGCTGAGGCCATCCAGCTACAGGCAGTGGGGACACTGATAGCCACCTGGCTACAGGCAACAGGGACATTGGGAGCCACAACCGCTCGGCTACAGCCAACACAGAGTGACAGTCATCCAGCTACAGCCAACATGGACACCAGGAGCCACAACCGCTCGGCTACAGCCAACACAGACAGTGACAGTCACCCAGCTACAGTCGGCACAGACACCGGGAGCCACAACCACCTGGCTACGGCTGACACAGACACAGAGAGCCACCCGGCTACAGGCAACAGGGACACCGATAGCCACCTGGCTACAGGCAACAGGGACACTGGGAGCCACAACCGCTCGGCTACAGCCAACACAGAGTGACAGTCACCCAGCTACAGCCGGCACGGACACCAGGAGCCACAACCACCCGGCTACAGCTGACACAGACACCAACAGCCACCCAGCTACAGCTGAGGCCATCTGGCTACAGGCAACGGGGACACTGATAGCCACCTGGCTACAGGCAACAGGGACACTGGGAGCCACAACCGCTCGGCTACAGCCAACACAGAGTGACAGTCACCCAGCTACAGCCGGCACGGACACCAAGAGCAGCAACCACCCAGCTACAGGTGACATGGACACCCAACAGCTGAGGCCATCTGGCTACAGGCAACGAGGACACTGATAGCCACCTGGCTACAGGCAACAGGGACACTGGGAGCCACAACCGCTCGGCTACAGCCAACACAGATGGTGACAGTCACCCAGCTACAGTCGGCATGTACACCAGGAGCCACAACCACCCGGCTACAGCTGACACAGACACCAAGAGCCACCCGGCTACAGGCAGTGGGGACAGTGATAGCCACCTGGCTACAGGCAACAGGGACATTGGGAGCCACAACCGCTCGGCTACAGCCAACACAGGCGGTGACAGTCACCCAGCTACAGTCGGCACAGACACCGGGAGCCACAACCACCTGGCTACGGCTGACACAGACACAGAGAGCCACCCGGCTACAGGCAACAGGGACACCGATAGCCACCTGGCTACAGGCAACAGGGACACTGGGAGCCACAACCGCTCGGCTACAGCCAACACAGACAGTGACAGTCACCCAGCTACAGTCGGCACAGACACCGGGAGCCACAACCACCTGGCTACGGCTGACACAGACACAGAGAGCCACCCGGCTACAGGCAACAGGGACACCGATAGCCACCTGGCTACAGGCAACAGGGACACTGGGAGCCACAACCGCTCGGCTACAGCCAACACAGAGTGATAGTCACCCAGCTACAGTCGGCATGGACACCAGGAGCCACATCCACCTTGCTACAGCTGACAGGGAGCCATGGTCACGGATCCCGGTGCCGAGGACCCCCCAGGAGCCACAACCGCACGGCTACAGCCAACACAGATGGTGACAGTCACCCAGCTACAGTCGGCATGTACACCAGGAGCCACAACCACCCGGCTACAGCTGACACAGACACCAAGAGCCACCCGGCTACAGGCAGTGGGGACAGTGATAGCCACCTGGCTACAGGCAACAGGGACATTGGGAGCCACAACCGCTCGGCTACAGCCAACACAGGCGGTGACAGTCACCCAGCTACAGTCGGCACGGACACCAGGAGCCACAACCACCCGGCTATGGCTGATGCCATCCGGCTACAGGCACAGGGACACTGATAGCCACCTGGCTACAGGCAATATGGACATTAGGAGCCACAACCGCTCGGCTACAGCCAACACAGATGATGACAGTCACCCAGCTACAGGCAGCACAGACACCAGGAGCCACAACCACCCGGCTAACAGCTGAGGCCATCTGGCTACAGGCAACGGGGACACTGATAGCCACGTGGCTACAGGCAACAGGGACACTGGGAGCCACAACCACTTGGCTACAGCCAACACAGACGGTGACAGTCACCCAGCTACAGTTGGCACGGACACCAAGAGCAGCAACCACCCAGCTACAGGTGACATGGACACCAACAGCTGAGGCCATCCAGCTACAGGCAGTGGGGACACTGATAGCCACCTGGCTACAGGCAACAGGGACATTAGGAGCCACAACCGCTCGGCTACAGCCAACACAGAGTGACAGTCACCCAGCTACAGCCGGCACGGACACCAAGAGCAGCAACCACCCAGCTACAGGTGACATGGACACCCAACAGCTGAGGCCATCTGGCTACAGGCAACGAGGACACTGATAGCCACCTGGCTACAGGCAACAGGGACACTGGGAGCCACAACCGCTCGGCTACAGCCAACACAGAGTGACAGTCACCCAGCTACAGCCGGCACGGACACCAGGAGCCACAACCACCCGGCTACAGCTGACACAGACACCAACAGCCACCCAGCTACAGCTGAGGCCATCTGGCTACAGGCAACGGGGACACTGATAGCCACCTGGCTACAGGCAACAGGGACACTGGGAGCCACAACCGCTCGGCTACAGCCAACACAGAGTGACAGTCACCCAGCTACAGCCGGCACGGACACCAGGAGCCACAACCACCCGGCTACAGCTGACACAGACACCAACAGCCACCCAGCTACAGCTGAGGCCATCTGGCTACAGGCAACGGGGACACTGATAGCCACCTGGCTACAGGCAACAGGGACACTGGGAGCCACAACCGCTCGGCTACAGCCAACACAGAGTGACAGTCACCCAGCTACAGCCGGCACGGACACCAAGAGCAGCAACCACCCAGCTACAGGTGACATGGACACCCAACAGCTGAGGCCATCTGGCTACAGGCAACGAGGACACTGATAGCCACCTGGCTACAGGCAACAGGGACACTGGGAGCCACAACCGCTCGGCTACAGCCAACACAGATGGTGACAGTCACCCAGCTACAGTCGGCATGTACACCAGGAGCCACAACCACCCGGCTACAGCTGACACAGACACCAAGAGCCACCCGGCTACAGGCAGTGGGGACAGTGATAGCCACCTGGCTACAGGCAACAGGGACATTGGGAGCCACAACCGCTCGGCTACAGCCAACACAGGCGGTGACAGTCACCCAGCTACAGTCGGCACGGACACCAGGAGCCACAACCACCCGGCTATGGCTGATGCCATCCGGCTACAGGCACAGGGACACTGATAGCCACCTGGCTACAGGCAATATGGACATTAGGAGCCACAACCGCTCGGCTACAGCCAACACAGATGATGACAGTCACCCAGCTACAGGCAGCACAGACACCAGGAGCCACAACCACCCGGCTAACAGCTGAGGCCATCTGGCTACACAGTGACAGTCACCCAGCTACAGTCGGCACAGACACCGGGAGCCACAACCACCTGGCTACGGCTGACACAGACACAGAGAGCCACCCGGCTACAGGCAACAGGGACACCGATAGCCACCTGGCTACAGGCAACAGGGACACTGGGAGCCACAACCGCTCGGCTACAGCCAACACAGAGTGACAGTCACCCAGCTACAGCCGGCACGGACACCAGGAGCCACAACCACCCGGCTACAGCTGACACAGACACCAAGAGCCACCCGGCTACAGGCAGTGGGGACAGTGATAGCCACCTGGCTACAGGCAACAGGGACATTGGGAGCCACAACCGCTCGGCTACAGCCAACACAGATGGTGACAGTCACCCAGCTACAGTCGGCACGGACACCAGGAGCCACAACCACCCGGCTATGGCTGATGCCATCCGGCTACAGGCACAGGGACACTGATAGCCACCTGGCTACAGGCAATATGGACATTAGGAGCCACAACCGCTCGGCTACAGCCAACACAGATGATGACAGTCACCCAGCTACAGGCAGCACAGACACCAGGAGCCACAACCACCCGGCTAACAGCTGAGGCCATCTGGCTACAGGCAACGGGGACACTGATAGCCACGTGGCTACAGGCAACAGGGACACTGGGAGCCACAACCACTTGGCTACAGCCAACACAGACGGTGACAGTCACCCAGCTACAGTTGGCACGGACACCAAGAGCAGCAACCACCCAGCTACAGGTGACATGGACACCAACAGCTGAGGCCATCCAGCTACAGGCGATGGGGACACTGATAGCCACCTGGCTACAGGCAACAGGGACATTGAGAGCCACAACCGCTCGGCTACAGCCAATACAGAGTGATAGTCACCCAGCTACAGTCGGCATGGACACCAGGAGCCACAACCACCTGGCTACAGCTGACACAGACACCGAGAGCCACCCGGCTACAGCTGATTCCATCCAGCTACAGGCACAGGGACACTGATAGCCACCTGGCTACAGGCAACATGGACACTGGGAGCCACAACCGCTCGGCTACAGCCAACACAGAGTGATAGTCACCCAGCTACAGCCGACACAGACACCAGGAGCCACCTGGCTACAGCCAACACGGACACGGGGAGCTGTGACTGCCCAGCTACAGGTGCTGGGGTCACCAGCAGCCACAACCACCCAGCTACAGGCACCAGGGATGCTGGTGGCTGTGACCCACCAGCTACAGTCACAAGACGGTGTTTTATTTGTGCTGTAAACTGGGTTTTGTGCAAATCTGCCAAAATATGGTTGATTTGGGGGGCATAAAAGCACATTTTGGGGGGTACATAAGGTACATGGAGGACAGGGAGGTGACATGGAGCCAGCACGGTGTCACCAAGGACAACCTGGTGGCCACCTGTGCTGGGGTGACCCTACCAGCGGACGAGGGACGAGCTTTGGCTGTGTCTCTCCAAGGGAGACCTTCGAGCCCCTTCCAGTCCCTCAAGGGGCTCCAGGAGAAACTCTTCATCAGGGAGTGGAGCCACAGGATGAGAAATAGTGGTTTTAAGGTAAAAAAAGAGAAGATTTAGACCAGCCTGGCACAGCCTGACCTTCACGAAGTACCGCAGCTCCGAGGGGGTGACGAGGACGTCGGGGGTGACGGGCAACGAGGCGTAGCTGTAGAAGTTTTCATAGTCGACGTTCAGCTCCTCCGAGGGGGGGTACAGCGGGTAGTAACTACCAAAGGGGGGAAAAAAACCCCATTACCACCACCTTTGCCTGTAGCAACAAGGCTCAGATACAACCGGCGGGTCATTTTGGGGTAGAAAGAGTTCTTTCTGCTTGTTTTGCTTATTGCTCTCGGCTGGGGCCGCCTGACACGCACCAGGAGGATTTACAGCGCTACAACCCTCCGAATCCTCTCTTAAAAGGGTTGTCAAACCCCAAACTGACATTTTTGGGGGTTAAAAATGGACATTGCCACCACCTTTGCCTGTAGCAACAAGGCTCAGATACAACCGGCGGGTCATTTTGGGGTAGAAAGAGTTCTTTCTGCTTGTTTTGCTTATTGCTCTCGGCTGGGGCCGCCTGACACGCACCAGGAGGATTTACAGCGCTACAACCCTCCGAATCCTCTCTTAAAAGGGTTGTCAAACCCCAAACTGACATTTTTGGGGGTTAAAAATGGACATTGCCACCACCTTTGCCTGTAGCAACAAGGCTCAGATACAACCGGCGGGTCATTTTGGGGTAGAAAGAGTTCTTTCTGCTTGTTTTGCTTATTGCTCTCGGCTGGGGCCGCCTGACACGCACCAGGAGGATTTACAGCGCTACAACCCTCCGAATCCTCTCTTAAAAGGGTTGTCAAACCCCAAACTGACATTTTTGGGGGGTTAAAAATGGACTTTAAAGGGGAAGAGGGTGACGACAGCACAGGATTTCATTATTTGGTGATAAAAAAGCCCTTTTTGGGTTCGGGTGGGTGTTTGTGCCACGTCCCTCACCTCCTCTGCGTCAGGATGTGCTTGAGGATTCGCGTGAACCTGTCCGAGATCCCCGATGAGCTGGAGAGAAAAAGAGCAGTGAAATGGTTAAGAAAAGGGAAAAAAAACCCAAAAAAACAAAAGAGCTCGGAGGCCGCGCTGATTAATTAGTCAGGCAGCCTAATTAACGACCTGGCACCGAGGGATGGGGGCAGCTCTGTCTCCCCATCAGAGAAACGAGGCGCCGGAGGGGACAACGGAGGGACAAGCCACCCCTGGATGATGCTTCCTGACAAGATCCCGGCCAATTTGGGGCTGAATCCAGAGATTTCCCCTCTCCCCGGGGTTGGGGATCCCACCTACTGATCTCCTCGGCGCCCATGTGGAAGATGAGGTCGGTGGAGGTGAGGCCCAAGATGACGCCGTCGATGTCCAGGGTGCAGGGCTCTGGCACCAAGTGCACGCGCTACGGGGACACGGGGACAGGACAACGGGTCGGGGGGTGGCTTTGCCAGGACCCCAAAACACCCCCGAGTGCCCTAAAACGACCCTAAAGTGCCCAATAACGACCCCAAAATGCCCCAAAACACCCCCAAGTGCCCCAGAACGAACAGAAAGTACCCCCAAAACACCCCTGAGTGCCCTAAAATGACCCCAAAGTGCCCCAAAATTACCAGAAAGTGCCCCCAAAACACCCCCGAGTGCCCTAAAATGACCCCAAAACGCCCCAAAACACCCCCAAGTGCCCTAAAACGACCAGAAAGTACCCCCAAAACACCCCCGAGTGCCCTAAAACGACCCCCGAGTGCCCCAAAATGACCCCAAAGTGCCCCCAAAACACCCCCGAGTGCCCCAAAATGACCAGAAAATGTCCCCAAAACACCCCCGAGTGCCCCAAAATGACCAGAAAATGTCCCCAAAACACCCCCGAGTGCCCTAAAATGACCTCAAAGTGCCCCAAAACGACCAGAAAGTGCCCCCAAAACACCCCCGAGTGCCCCAAAACGCCCAGAAAGTGCCCTAAAACAACCCCAAAGTGGCCTAAAACACCCCCAAGCGCCCTAAAACGACCAGAAAGTGCCCCCAAACGACCCCAAAGTGCCCCAAAACGACCCCGAGTGCCCAAAAACAACCCCAAGGTGCTCAGCTTTCCATAATTGTCCCAAACCTGGCCTAAAATGCCCCAGAAAATGTCCCCAAAACACCCCCGAGTGCCCTAAAATGACCTCAAAGTGCCCCAAAACGACCAGAAAGTGCCCCCAAAACACCCCCGAGTGCCCCAAAACGACCAGAAAGTGCCCTAAAACAACCCCAAAGTGGCCTAAAACACCCCCAAGCGCCCTAAAACGACCAGAAAGTGCCCCCAAACGACCCCAAAGTGCCCCAAAACGACCCCGAGTGCCCAAAAACAACCCCAAGGTGCTCAGCTTTCCATAATTGTCCCAAACCTGGCCTAAAATGCCCCCCAAAACCTGTACCCAAAACGCTGCAGTCGCATTGGGATTTCCTCAAATACCCCCAATCTGCCCTAAATCGCCCCAGATCTGCCCCAAATCACCCCAAACTTGCCCTAAAATGGTCACAATCACCATTATGGTCAAAGCTCACCATGAGCTTTCCTTAAACGCCCCAAATCCACCCCAAAATACCCCCCAAAGCTGGTTCCAAAACACTGGAATCAGGCTGGGATTTCCCCAAATCTGCCCTAAAACAGTCGCAATTGCATTTTGCCTTTCCTTAAACACCCCTAAACCAATCCCAAAACACCCCAAACCGACCCCAAAACACCCCTAAACCAATCCCAAAACACCCCAAACCGACCCCAAAATACCCCCAAAACACTGCAGTCACCCTGGGCTTTCCTCAAATACCCCAAATCTGCCCTAAAACGGTCACAACCACCCTGAGCTTTCCTTAAACACCCCGAAACCAATCCCAAAACACCCCAAACCGACCCCAAAATACCCCCAAAACACTGCAGTCACCCTGGGCTTTCCTCAAATACCCCAAATCTGCCCTAAATGGCCCCCAAACCTGCCCTAAAATGCTCACAACCACCCTGAGCTTTCCTTAAACACCCCGAAACCAATCCCAAAACACCCCAAACCGACCCCAAAATACCCCTAAACCGGCTCCAAAAACACTGCAGTCACCCTGGGGTTTCCTCAAATACCCAAACCTGCCCTAAAACGGTCACAACCACCCTGAGCTTTCCTCAAATACCCCAAATCTGCCCTAAATGGCCCCAAATCTGCCCTAAAACGCTCACAACCACCCTGAGCTTTCCTCAAATACCCCAAATCTGCCCTAAATGGCCCCCAAACCTGCCCTAAAATGCTCACAACCACCCTGAGCTTTCTGTAAACACCCCTAAACCAATCCCAAAACCCCCAAAACCTACCCCAAAACCATCTCCAAAACACTGCAGTCACCCTGGGGTTTCCTCAAATACCCCAAATCTGCCTTAAATGGCCCCAAATCCACCCTAAAATGGTCACAACCGCCCTGAGCTTCCCTCAAATACCCCAAACTTGCCCTAAAATGCTCACAACCACCCTGAGCTTTCCTTAAAACACCCCTCAACCAGCCCTAAAAGTCCCAAATCCACCCCAAAACCCACCCCAACACCCCCAAAAAATGTTGCCATGGGTGTTTTTTGGGGTAAAAAGGAGGTTTATTACCGCTTTGTCGTCCCGGGGCAGGTCGGGGCAGGAGAAGGGCGGCTGCGGGTAAACGAAGTCGTGGTGGACGTCGCGCAGGGAGGGGACCAGGACCAGCTGGGACCCCGTGCTGCCAGGGGAAAAAACGGGGGAAAAAGAGGGGATTTAGGGACAATGATGCAAGAAACTGGGGAAAAAGGGAAAACCAGGGAATTTGGGGACAACCACGAGCTGCGAGTTGACGGCGTTGGACAAAAAGAAGGAAAACCAGGCAGTTTAGGGATAAAGATGAACCCAGAGCTGTCAAAAAAAGAAAAAGAGGGAAAAAACAGGCAGTTTAGGGAGAATGATGAGGCAAGAACTGGGAAAAAAAGGGAAAAAGAGGGAATTTAGGGACAAAAATGAGCTGAGAGTCAATGAGGTTGGAAAAAGAGGGAAAAAACGAGGTGATTAATTACAGGTGAAGCCGAGGAACAGCTCATCAGCCACAACCAGCACTTCTCCGAGGAAATTACAGCCAGACCCCCTCAAAAATAGACCATTTTGGGGCATTCTGGAAGTGAAAAGCCCCAAAATCTGTTAAAATCCCCCCAAAACCCACTTTGCTTTTGTGGGAAAGGTGTTTCTCCCCTGGGGCTCCAACTGGCCGCCCCCCTCCTCCATTTCAGAGCCCGTTAACGAGGCTTTTAACCAAAATCTCATGATTTTTCTCCCTCTGCTGCCTGTTTCCCGCCTGGGAATCGGTGGAAACCTCCTGTTTGGTGATAAAAAAGGAGTTTTTGGGCAAAAAGTGACATGTGGAAAGGAGGAGCTACCTACCTTCGTGTCCCTTCGATGATCATCTTCAGGCAGAGCTTGAAGACATCGGCGAAGGAGCCCAGGAGCTGGCAGTTCTAAAAATTGAGGGAAAACGAGGAGATTTGAGGAATTCCCCCCTCAAATTGAGGAATTTGAGGACTTTTTTTTTGGGACATCTCCCCCCCAACCTCCCGCGGCCGCTTTGTCCTTCCGGAGCCCGGCCCCACGGATCAACCCCAAAATCCACACGGATGGAGGAATTTTGGGGGGAAAAAATCAAGCTTTTAGAACATCCCATGGAGGTCCTGGGGGAGGGGGGCACCCATGGGTGCCCCGGAGTCTTCCTCACCTCCACTTGCTCGTGCTTGGCATCCAGGAACGGCCCAAACTGCGAAGAAACGATGAAAAAAATCAGAGAAAACCACAATCCGGGGCATCCCCAGGTGTCACCAGCCCCAAAACCCAAATTAATTGTGTTAAACCCCCCAAAAAAGGTAAATTTTAAAAAATTATTCTTATTAATGAAGCTCAAATTTTATCCCACAACCCCAAAACGGTCGGGGCAAAAGGGGAGACCGATCAAAGCAGCAGGAAACCAGGATCTGGCTCCTGGGGTGCTCAAAGGGCACGATTCGCTCTAAAAACTGGGCTTTTTTTGTCATTTTAGGGTAAAAAAATGGACGTTTTGGCACTTTGGGATGAAAAACAGGTGGTTTGAGCTCACGCCCGAGCTGCCTCTCTCCCCACACGGCGCTTTTTTACGCCGATTTTTCAGGTTTTGAAACCTTGACTGCACTTTCCTGCTGTGGTATCTTGTTTTAGGATATTTAATTGGTTTAATGAATGTAAATAATTAGTAAATTATTTACATTCATTACCCCCCCCCTCACCAGGATGCAGACGTCGGGGCGGTCGCGGGCGATGACCTCCAGGAGGTCGGTGAGGGGCTCGTAGGTGATGCTGTCGGAGGTGGTGTAGGGTCCACAGGCCACCAACACCATCCTCTGCTCTGTGGGGACAGAAGGGAAGGGTTTTGGGGACAAAAAGAGAGGTTTTGGGGACAAAAAGAGAGGTTTTGGGGACCCTCTGGCCTGACAGGAAGGTTTAACCCCTCCCGGCTTTAAACCTCCGCGGGGAAAGCTCACCTGGGGCCGGCTCTGTGGGGGTGTGGAAGGGAAGTGGCACCCCCTGCAAATAAACCAGAAATAGCCTCAAAATCCTCCTTTTTCACCCCAAAAAAAGAAATCAGCCCCCAAACCCATCAGTGGGGCCAAAGTCACCTCGTAGAGCTTGGAGACCACCATCATCCTCCCGGTGCTGTTGGTCCCCTCCAGCGCCACGACCTTAAATGTTGGGGGGGGGGGAGGGAAAAGGGG